GGTAGACAGCAAGTCAACATGAGCCAGCAGTGCACCGTGAGCCAGCACCCTGGGCTGTGTCAACAGAAGCCTAGCCAGTGGATCAAGGGAAGTAACTATTATCTTTTGCTGAGCACTTGTTGGACCATATCTAAACTACCACATTGTGTTTTGGTATCCCCAGTAAAAAGAATAAAACTGGAATAAGCTCAGTAAAAGGCCACCAAGACAGACAGGGGCTGTGGTTATTTGCCCTGTGAGGAGAGAGTGAGGGACTTGGGCTCATTCAGACTAGGTATGTGAAGAAACTTATTCACCATGAGGGCAGCTAGGCAGCAGAGCACATTGCACAGAGAGGTCATGCCATCTTCTTCCTTGGAGTTTTCTCAAGACCTAAATAGTTAACAGTCCTGAGCCACCTAGTCTGACCTCATGGCTGACCCATTACTGAGCAGGTTGTTGGACTCAGTGTCTCCTGAGAACCTTCCCACTCAAGTTATTCTGTTTCCTAATCTTCTAATCTGTTTTCCTCACTACTTCTCTTAGAATATCACATTTTCTAAAAGTGTAATACACAATAATCCAACAGGATGAGCTGAAATGTTAACTCAACACCGAGTAATATCAAAACTCTTAAGCCAATCACCCTGTGGGTGACTACTTCACTGACCCAGTGACATCAGCCATGATATTCCTATTGCTGTGTACACACGCTCATCGCTCATACTCAAAAACATTTGTGCTGCCTTATAAACATGCCATAAAGGCTGGCAAGGAGAGGATTAGAAACACACAGGATCTAGCATCTGGAATTCATCTCCTCATTAAAAGCTCCGACGTGATGGCAGCTAACAACTGGCATTCACTTAGGAGTTGGACTTGATGATCCTTGTGGGTTCCTTCCAACTCAGAATATCCCGATGATTCTGACTCAGTTGAAGGAAAAATAAACAGAAAAGACCTGTGGAATTGATCACTCATACCAGGGAACATACTTCACCCTGCAAAGAGAGGGACATTCACAATCTTTCTAGTCAAACTACTCCTCATCAGCAAAATGTAAGGCAGCCTTCCCTCTCCTATTCATTCTCAGTTAAGAATTGGCAAAAATATCTGGAGTATCTTAAGTGCTGCCGGTATCTGCATACAGAAGAGGTGGGTTTGCAATCTAATGCACTCACTATGTTACTATTCAGATTATTGCCATGAAAGAGAAGTACCTTGACCTTCTGCCAGCCATCAACACATACAGAACAAGGCTGAGATGGCTTACTTAAGTGAGAGTAGGATGAGGGTCCTTGTAGAGCATCACAGTCGAGTCTCATGAGGCAGCTTCAAGTCTGAATTGCTTTCTCTGCATCCACACAAGGAGATGTATGATTAATTCTTTAAGCAAAGTCAGGAATAACTCGGATAACCCTGCTTTTCCAAAGGATAAGAATTAGACTCCAGTGGCTAATTCCTTTCTCCTATTTATATTTGTTTACTTATTTTTCCAGGCCATATAAATAAACATTTTGCTGAAGCAGGAGAAAAGTATCTAACTGGCAACAATATCTTGTAATTTGGGCAACTATGACATGGAGAAATGGTTACTTTGGTTAGTGAAGTAAGTTACAAGCAGTCTTGGAAATTCTCTGTATTAACAGAATAAGACTAATTTATGACTCTCAGATTCCTAGTAAGCTTTCCATGTTCATTTCTGGTTCTGAATAACTTGTGTCTTATTCACGCAGGACAGGGAAAAAGTTTGGAAAACTATCAAATCCTCAGTCTACCCTTAAGAAATTGAATTCTATTTGGAAGAAGCATGTTTGAGTTACACTAAGGCTTACTGATGATATATGAAGGATAGAACAATTATGTCCTGTTGAAAAATAATTTTTAAAAGGTACTAATACTATTAAATATTTGGACAGAAAGATGCATCAGCTCTGTAACAGATCTTCAACCACTGCCCTACCTGTTAAGACAGAAATAACAACCAACATGTTTTAAGAAAGTTTTGAGCAACATCTCTAACAGATTTTTCTTTTTTAAATAACTACACTGGAAGACAGATTGAATAAAAAACAACAAAAAAAGAAAAGCGCAACCTAAGAAACTAACTTAAGCTCTGAAAGAACAGTCATATCACTGCAACTTTTATCCCCCCCCACCCCCAAATCTAGCTGAATTTCCAGAACACTTATTTTGGCACACTGATTTCTTATCCCATGTTCCTCTTGCTTAGCAGACACATTCTTATCTCTGTCTTTGGATGGCTGAAGCAGAGCCTTTACAGGAAAGATTAACTCAGCTATCTTGCCTTTAAATTTCTGATAAAAGCAAACCACCATTTTATGTGATGATCCACTGTACTTCTATTATTCTGGGTAATTTAAAGAGAGGCACCTTCTGGGAGGATGTGCCTACCAGGAATTAATAGGGCATGTAGACATGCCAGTCCAGGGACACCTCAGTGCCAGCACTCCACACTACATCTGTGAATAGACAGAGGATTTGGCATTTCTGAGCTCACATGCCAACTTTTCCATTATGATACAAACTGCCTTCATGAGAGGTCTTACATAGTGCCAGCATGGGACTGAAATCACAGGGAAATTATTAAAAAGGGCTGCTGGGTTTCATAAGTCTTCAAAAATAGTCTCAAGACCAAAGGAAAGACTACATATGTTAACTGGGTAGAAAAAAATGTTCTATCAGAAAACTAGTGACAGAAAGGAATGGAATCTAGTGCAAAACCATTTAACTAAATATATCTGCTTCTTATGGACTGTTGCTACAGAAATTGTAAGAAAAAATAAAACCCGTTTCACTACAGCACATCCCAGATCTAGATTTGCACAGAGGAGGCACTCTCAGGATAAAGTTACATATTATGCCTTCAGAAGATTTAACATATAACCATATGCTAATGGAGACGAAGCTATTCATGCCTCCTCCCCCATAATATGCAGAATACTCCCTTCCTCCCATTTCACCAGTGTTTGCCAAAAACTGTACCATGCTGATTCAACACTGACTCGAATGTGCTAAAATGAGCAACTTTCTGTGGGATTAGCAAATTGAATTAACTCAGTGAAGGGTCAAACAAGTGCTGAAGCAATGGGACTTCACCCTAAGATACTGAGATTGGTGTTGTCCCTCTCCTCCACCATACAGATGTGAAAAGACAGTACAGGTAGGAAGCAGCTGGGGATCCTAGACAATAGAAACTGAAATTGCATAAGTAACAACGTAGGAAACCCTGAAGATCTAAATGACCTTCCTACTGTTTTGATCATGCCCCCTTTAAACCTACTGGGCTCCCATGTCCTCAAATACCCTCTCTCCCCTCCTTTCCAAATTCCTTCACTTGTCATACATTATCTATCCTCTCAGCTTTTTGTCCTTCCTTAGTGTTTCTTTGTGACACTCATCACCATCTAAACATTCACTGAGCACACACATCCCACCCCCTTCCTTTTTCCATTTACTTACACTGTTCAGGAGACTGGAAATCACACCACTTTTATGCAATGATTCAGATAACATTGTGCTGCAGTAACTACCAAAACCACACGAGAACTAGTAACAGTCTTCTGATTGACCTGACATTGCCAATATACAACAGGACTTTCTGTGAACCCCTTCCTTTTGCAGGACTCTGTACGTATTTACCTGGGGCACAAAGGGTCTGAACTAACACCCAATATCCAAGCATTGCCAAGGGAGAAAAACACTGGCTATGAAAGCATGTGGGCAGAAATATAAGCAGAACACCAAGGTGACAATGAATAACACACTCCTGAATGTTAAGGTACAGTGGAATTTTCATCATTTCATAACATCCCAGCTTCTTTCTCACACTGAAGCAAAACAAAATAAAATGTAGGTGGAACCACAAGTCCTGTTGTTATTAGCATGCAAAGAAAATTCTCTTATTTAAATTCCCCCATCTGTTCTAACCAACCATTTATGAGTAATTCTCAACATTTCTGTCACCTGAAAACAATACAGTGAGTTCCAGGCACAAAAACTTCCTAAGCAGTTAATATCCAGGATCATGGATGATTAAGTCATCCAGTGTTTCATTCTTTCAGTGAGCTTTGTTTCTGGCCTGGCTTCCTCACTGCATTTTGTCTCTAGCATTTCTCTCCTGCTTCTGGCAGATGAAGTGGAGGTGGAGAAGAAAAGGGAGGAAAGTTCTTCAGTAGCATAAGGATTACAGTATTTTCCAATCCTTCAGCAGGGAAGAGCTTGCTCAGGGAACAGATAACCTAGTGCTGCTACCTAGTCTTCCACCCCACTTTGTTTTTATTTTTTGAAATCTATGTTTACAAGTGTTTGCAATTATAAAGTTACACAACCTGGGGACAAAGTTTACTACATTTATCTCCTTTCTGCCCCCAAATCCAACTGGAACGAACCTCCCACCCACATATTTCCCCCACTTTTTTGTCCTGTTGTGGGTAATGTGAAACAGAAAACTGCAGTTTAGAGAGATCCTCAATCATACACCCACAGGTCATTTACATTTGGTTCACAACCAAGCCTTATGTGAATGTAGATGCCACTCATCAAAAGGACAGTTATGCCACAGATAACAAATCATCTCTACTCCCTAAATTAAACAACAGTATTAGCAGAGAAACAAAGTTACTTTCAAAGCACTCTTGGTATACTGTCTGATTACCTGCCCTTGCTCATAACAAAGGGAGAACTGTCCTCACACAACTCTACTTATGTTTCCTTTCAATGTTCTGAAATAAGAGCCGTTTAAGGATGTGAGTTTTGTTTTCAATTGGAAAGGTCACCTGGGGTATGAGGCAAAATGAGTCTGTACACTCCTTTTAATAAGGAGAAAGGGAAAGAGATGGGTCACAGAGAAGGAGGGAAATGAAAGTTTATTGCACCTTCATTTTTATTATAGAAGTCTCAAAGAAGTTATGGAAAAAGTAAAATTAGTGAAAGAACAACAGTCTAAGAGCCTGCAGAATCTAATTCTCTCTTGAACAAGAAAAGTGATGACTACTTACATATAATATGTAGGATATAATCCTTCAAAGTACCAGCAATGCTTTTTGGCCTCTGTACACTACAAAGAAAGAAAAAAATATGGTATTAGTATTTGCGTAGAATATTGTACAATTATAAACACAAGCTTAGAGTATTTATAAATACTGTGACTCCGAGCAGTTCGGAAGGGTTTATATTCCCAAAGCTTTCCCTATCCTGATACACAGAGCGGCTGGGAAGTCAGTTCATGTAAATGGCAGGGTGTCCTGCCAGGGTTCAGTCCCCTCATGCAGGGCTTTGTCTGGGGGGCCCCACAGCTTCCCACGGTTCACGAAGAACAAAGTCAGTACATTCGGCACAGGCACAGGATCCAGCTGCATATGCTCCCTGCCTTAAAAGACCACAGACAACATAAAAGCCCACTTGTGATTACAGTCACTTAAGAGACCTTCAAGGCATAAGCAGTTTGATGACACTATACCTACAACTACACAGTAAATACAATAATTGTAGGGAATTATTCATCTTTTTGAAAGAGTCTGGCATGCAGAGCCAGGCTCAGAAAGGAACAGAACGGAGAACCATCTATCCCACCTCCTCTTCCTACAGCCTAGAAATATCTCAAGTGTTCATTAAAGTACTGGGGAAACTGCATTCTGCAGCCCAAGGGTATTGTTCTCTTTTGCGGATTGTCAGTGTATCCTTGTTAAAGGATGGCGACAGGCGTTTTCTCAGCATGTGTGTGCCGGCAACGTGGGAAGCACACATCGTTACGGGCACTGCCAGAGTACAGACGGCAGCTCGGAACAATAGCAGCACTTAATAAAGAAAACCAGACGTCAAGCACAAGCTCCACCAAGTACAAAATATTTCTGTGCATCTTGCTGGCATCCCTAGCATGAAATGCCATCTTTATTGCAGACATAGCTGCAGGAGCTCCACTGTTAAGTTGCGTTCCCCAATCACACGTGGGCAGCGTGTTGTGGGACACCCACCACAGAGCAGTGAGGAATATCTTGCTGAGGTTTTAGCAACGATTTCCCTCTGCTGCTCCCACCTGACACCCGCTGTTGGAGAGTGCTCAGCACACTGGCGGTGCTTGGATCATCCTTCACGGTCACTTGGCAGCTCACCTTTAAATAATAGCTCGTATTAGTTTATTAGCTTCCCTGAATTCCAGAATACTAAATGAATGCAGTTAAGACAAAGACAAAGTGTTTTTAGATCCCTGACTCTCACTCCTCATGAATAAGAAAGGCCGCAAGCTCTTTAATGAGCATCTGATGAGCTAAATCGCAGACAGATCAATTACAAGCCATGAAGACAAACTGCTATGGATTAAATTGTTAAGAGTGGTACAGAAAATAAGTGGGAGGAGGAAGAGGGGAAGATGCTTTTGATGCATATGATCAGGTCTTTTTCCATTAATAAACAGCTTCACACCAGTCTTTGAGAAGAACGAGCTGTAGCTTCTTCGGAAAGGACCAGAGTTTTTTCCTCAGGATAAGCACAGCAGAAGCCTTGTTCCCCTCTCAAACTGATGTCACAGTCCAGGCAGTATATTCAGGAGGGCTCCATAGTTTCTCCTGGAGTAAGTGGTGTTCAAAGATCCATCTCTGCATTTGCCCTATTTCCCCCTCCTCCACTGTTCCCACTTCAAAGTTTCCAAATTTTTAACCCTTCCTTCCAAATATTTTCACCAGATGGCTGTTTTCTCTTACTCTAAAATTAGAAATATGTCAAGTTTCTCTCTATAACACCCTGCAAACATACATGCATTGTAAGCCCAGCAGGCATGCTGCTGAATCACTGAAAAATACTTTGGCTCTTCACCTCTGAAGGCCGCAGATCTGGAATTAGGAATTGGCTAAATCCCAGTGCCTGCAGGTCTACCCCTTGGGAAGCCTCTTTCCAGAGTACAGCTTGGGGTGTAGGCCATTAAGTGTTTTTCCTTCCTGCTTCTCAGCCAATATGAGTCACCATTTACCTCAACAGCTTTAAAGCCTTTGTCAGTCTCAAGCATTTTAATTGATGTTTTCCCAGCAATGTTTCTGAGCACTTGGAGCCTGCATACCCTTTACAAGTGTAAAGCAGACATTTATATTCAGCAGTCTTCCCCATATTTTAATCTCCTTTACAAGTTCTAAAACGAGTTGGAAAGATTCCTCCTTCCAACATCTCCCAAGTTATAGGACTTCTGTTTCTGCCTCTAAACAATTCTCCTTTTCAGACAGCCAATACCTTTATTACTGTCCTAAGAAATGTTCCAGCCTGGGGTAGTTCCTTCTACTTCACAGGACTTAGTTACTTGCACTAAACATCCTTTGGTGTCCCGATTTGCTTTTATACTGGCTCTGGAAGAGCAGGCACCAATACCAATTCCGCCTATCTTTTTAATGTCACAGTGCTATGAACACTGCATGGCAGTTGTTCAGCTCCCCTACAGGGAAACAGGGCAGCACAAAAGCTAGTGGACCTCAAACGTGAGCAGCAGAGCCAAATCTGATACACATGACACGTCAAACAAATTTACACGCGCAGGGCGAACCACTGCGGTCCCCGCTCAGTTAAACTCCGGTCGATCTCCATGGCAACTTTACTCCAGCAAAGCCTGACATAAGGCAGGCGACAGCTAACCACTGTCTCTCCTCCTGGTTAACAGACCTCGCAGGAATTTGCTGCTAAGAATAAGACAAGAGTGTCGTTGCCTCTGAGGATTTGAGTGTCTTCGGCACTCAGGTAGCAGAGAGATGAAAGGGGTAGTCAGGGCACAGATTAGTTTTTCCCATCCCACACACATCCTCTGAAAAAGGCTACGATAATCCGTCTCTTGCCAAGTTCTAAATTATTCTTCTGACTGGTACTGGACTCATAGCTAAGCGGGTGGAGAGCCATACAAGAGTGAGAGGAGACATGTGCCATCAGCATCAGGCTCTCAGCCTTTGGAAAGTCACGTCCTTACAGCTGTTTTAGACTATTAAAACCTCAAGAAACCACAGCCGGAAGGAACTCACTGCAGCCGACAAAACAGATACGAAAGGAAGAGTAGTTATATTACTGCAATACAATAGAGCCTCAGACATCAGAATCGGTGCCCACTTCACTAGCTCCAGTACAAAGACAGGTTGTATCTCAGTTTCTAACAAGCGTTCCTTTCTGTATTTAAAAAGCCACTAACCCATCCAACTAATAGCAAAATAGTATGTCAATGGTTTTTAAACTAAGCTCACGTACAGCCTTGCTGATAATTTCAACTTTTCTAAGCAAAGGGCTCTGCACGTTTTGCTTATAAAATTCTTCCTTCTATGTCCTTTAGCAATTTGGCACAGCTCTAAAATATAAATACAAGAGTACATTCATTTTTTAAATAAATGATGCAGGTCTAATTGGGTGTGCATATGTAGTCTTTAGAGAATTAATGGTATGCGAATTAGCCAGATGCTTGAATACATTCTTTAACTTTGCATATTTGGAAAGAAAAAACACAAACCTCATTTTTTTGTTTGTTTGATTTTAAATAAATCAGCATCTGTCTTGTAACCTGTTTTCTTTACGAGACTGCAGCAATGCAAATTGCAAGCTGCCTTTTTCTGTGGCCTCTAAATTATTTCAGATTTCCTTTAAGAAAGGAAATGTGCTTCCTGCCACAGATTGAAATTGCAAATGTTACTGCTGCTAGAAAGAACAATGAGAAATACGAGTTACTAAAACATTAACCAAAGACTGGTTTTGATCACACCATAAAATACAGAACACAAATGCATGTGTATGCACATGGTGTGGGGGATGACAAAGCAGGCAGGCAGCCTGCTCACTGAATGTTGGTTGGTACTCCACAGATCATTAGCTATGCTTTGCAGGATTTGCAGAAATACTATCCCTAGCAAGAATGTCCTCCCCATTGCACATCGTTATCCCTCAGTCCACAGGACAACAAAAAGAAAATAGATCTGATCAACTAATTACTCTTTGCAATCAAGGGAGCAGCGGATTCACACCTAGTGCTTTTATTGGAGGTTTGAAAATTAATAACAAAGAAGCAAAAGCAATTAAAGCCCCACATGCAAATAGTAAATACTTTCCAGTATGAGTACAGTACATTTTTGTTATGGGTACCAATGAAAAAGCAGCCTGCCATGGACAGCCGTGTTTCTGGAGGGCAGGGGGAGGGCAATTGCAATCTATATGCTGAAGGAACATTCAGAGCGAGTTTGTGACATCTGCTCAAACAGATCCTTAGGAGGCATGGGTCTGCTATCAATCACAAGGTCAATAAAACTCTGTCAGTTATCTGCAACTGAGAGTGAGCCTCTCTCTTTTACACTATGTATTACAGTTATAAGGATGAAAATAGGTAGATTCAGAAGGAAAAAAGCAGGTATTTAACAGTGACCTGCTATACTGATATAATGCAAATAGCTCCTGGTATTCTGGGATGACATGTTTAGCGGATGTTACCTCCCACTTAGCTGGGTATATGTTATACATTAGTAGTGTGCAAGTTGATCCAAATGTCATTCTTGTGGCTACAGCCCCTGGGGCCCTGCTAGGATTAATACACAGATGAACAGGAAGGATTGAGAAGTATCTTCGGCATGGAACAAGACCTTATTTTTTCTGAGCATCACACAGTCCTATTCCAACATAGAGCCAAAACTATATCTTCCATACAGTTTGATCTAACTGTAATTGAGGAAATGGAAAGGACAACACCTTTCTCAACATATGGTTCCACAAGACCTGAGAAACAGCTGTCTATACCTGCTGCCTCTGTTATAGAAGGCCTCTTGCAAAACTCAGATCTTTCCCGGTTTTATTGGTCACTGCACCTGGCAAATACTCGATGAAGCCCAGACAAAAGGATGGGAAAGTCTGCGGTGCAACTCCACACTAAATAAGCAGTTCCAGGAGGCACATTATTGGCTAGGAATCACAATGTTTTACAAGATCTGACCTTTAAAACTGCATCAGTTTTCAGAACACTATCCCTTTCAGACTAGGCAAGAAGCATCAAAATTAATTCCTACTTCCCTGTTGATGCTCACAGCTGAAGGTGAAAGAAGCCCATCTACAAAACTA